CATGTGATCATTAGAAAAGTTTTTACCACACTTGTGTGAATGGATTTGCTTATTAGAGTCTGTCAATAAGAGGACTGACACATAGTGAATACGGTCGATGAATGTCCTCTTTTTAACCCACGACAATAAATGTTGCACGTTAAACACACATTAATATATTACATTCTTAAGGCTGATTTACACGGTACGATTTGTCGCGCGCGACTTTAAGCCGTGGTTCAAAATCCTACTACAAGTCGTAGTAGACAAGTCGTAGGGGCATTTACACTGCGCGATTCAAGTCGTATACTACAAATCGCAGGAGACAATCGTGCCGTGTAAATCAGCCCTTATTGTTTACATTTATTKTAGGSTTCATTTATATTTTCCACATACCAATTTCATGGGCCACAATTCCTGTGTGCCAACAGCCACTAGCAAGATTGATGTCCTGTCGMYATCCCRTTCTTCCTACGTGCGATGAACATCTGATTTTTGAAATGAAAAGGTCACTGATTTAGCCATTTTTACAGTACAGGTTTTTCTATAGACTTTTGACTGAGCTGTCACTATAACTATGATTCTGGAAAGACCAATTTCATCATTAAATACTAACCATTTTATGATTCTTATATTGTTCTTCTGCTTTAAAATTATAGCGAAAACGTACGCAACGGAGTATTGAACTTTTCAACCAATTAACATTTCCTTGATTTCAATGATGGTTCGTWCCACCCGAAACCCCTCCCCAACGGGCCCGACACACTCAATGTCTATATTAATCAAGCAATGAGTAGCTATACCCCGATCCTATCTTGAAATAAGCGTAGCCTCTTTCGTTTGTTCTCTGCTTGAATCGAATACAAGTTTTCGATGTCCATTCGTTCATTCCACTTCTAATGGCATTCATTGCTCTTGAATTCCGTGCTGAAAGACAAACATAAAATCATTAATTAGTTTAATTATCAATAAATTAATACTAACTAGAATGTCACTGTGATCATTTCAATACTTTTATTTTCAGCTAGCACAACTCTTCATCTTGGAGTTCAAGACAATTTGAGGAAGATTGCTGTTGGCTATTGGTGTTTGATCAGTTGAATTTGTGTTTTACATTGTCTGATCTTGCTCATTTTTGATTTTTGTCTTATATGACAGCGGCAATAGATGGGCAGGTCCAATTTCAAAAAACTAGTTATGAAGTACTTAGTGTAAAGTAAAAAAAAAACGCGAAATAGATTGCGCACTGTTTTTTTCTTTTGTGTCTACTCGACCATCACAATTTAATGGTCACATTTTCTTTCACTAGCACTATTTGATAAGCGAACTTTCTCATGCATTTAGTGATTTATCTGAATATTAAATTKCCCACCTAGTGCACCATCGATTTGATAAACAACAACCCCTCCAGGCCATCGCTTGTTTTTGATAGCTCCTCGACCAACAGGTGCGTCTACATCACCACCGCTCATCGCCGCCGCCCTTTGTTCWGGTGACAGGATCATGTCACCCTCGAAAACATCTGGGTCAGAGCTTTCCTCTAAAAATATTTAGAAAATACATTAACACCGATGATAACAAGAAGCAYATTGCTAGTTAAAGTTGCTGTCTATGCTTATAATTTCAATATGAAAAAGGGGTGCCTAAAAACACGCGTATAAACGATTCTAATTATCAAAGATTAATTGACTTATGAGATGACAAATGAGTAGTAAAACTGTACGCAGGCTTTTCATAGTTATTGCCGACCTATATAATAATCTTCCTTCCCATGGTCCCATTCAATCTTGTAACCATCTTTKATATCGAGTAGATTCTATCGTCCAATGTCAAGGATCACGGTACGCAAAATACACGTCACGCTCACACAGATTCATCTAGCGGGGACGCTGACGGTATACAGAACATATAACGACCATAATGCAACACGGTCAAGGACGACAGTACCATGGCTTCTCGAGCGCTCATAAGAAGGCAGCTGAGAATTTTCAATATAATGCAGAGTGGCATATGTTTTTTTTAGAATTGATAAAAAGTGGTTAGCACCTAAAGAAAACATCTTGTTCTTACTCGTGTTATTAACCGTTCAAGAACCGTATTCTGAATAAAATAATTTTTACCTTCTGGATCAGATGCAACACTCACAGTCACAAACACAAACACAATGATCCACTTGAACATCATCTTTAGCTTGAAGTCAATATATAGATGTTAGGTGATAGGATTGATCTTATTTATACCGGTATCTCTTGCTGCATTTGACCAGCTTTATAAATAAGAATGGGGCATTGCTTATTGATATTAACACTTTTATGAAATAAGAGGTAGAGTCTTGAAGCTGATAAAACGTCGGCATGTTTCAGGTTGATGGCTCCAAATTAAAAAAGTCGAATCGGGGTTTTTTTTGGAAAACAAGATCTGTTATATCAGCGTCACTTTGTTTAGATTCATAGTTTAACACCAATATCTAACATTATCCACAAAACTATCTACCTACAATTCCAGATTCATTTTATCAAAATGTGATTTTGTTGTTGTATTCGTTTTTTCYGTTCTTTTGTCAAATTTGGCCGAGTACCGCGTTTATTATGGACTAACACAAGTCGTTGTCCACTCATCTTCGTTGTCTATAATTGTTAAATAGTATATGAAATACAAAAGATTCTACTGGTATATAATACCCTGCGTAATTWCATGGGTTTATCACTCTATCCCACCSAAASTAACCATGCAGTTTATTAGACGGTCGGCAGACTCAAAAGACGCCCAAGATCTAAAGTTTCTGTGTGTTCTTAAATATTTCAAACCTATCATAAAGGTTTTCGAGGCTAAAGATCTTTCACCTTTTCAGTTTTATTCATTTGAATTAGTTTAATTGAATTGGTAGCGGGCTTTTCACGACAACACCAGTTGAATAAACATCATATTCTTTGCATGATATTGAAGTCTTTTAAAGACAATAACAAACGACTTAGTCGACATTCTAATATTTGTATTGTTGCTCTGTATTTACATTATTTACACACAACAATGCCACTTATCTTCTCTCTACTAATTCAATTTTATCAATTCTACTTTCCTTTCTCATCTCCCCCTATTTTTGTACTTTTTTATTTGTTTTTAACTTTCATTTGACGATTTTGTATGGACTTTGAACCAGGTCTAGATCCACTCTACCCGCCACTTTTCCAGATTTGTGAGTTCTTTTCACGGATTCAAATCAAACCGTAGGAAATCGTCAGGTTTGTACGCCATTCTAACCCATTTTCTCTCTTCTGGTCTTTTAACCATTGCATATGATTAAGGGAAAACACATTTATTATTTCGAGACGGGGGCAGGAGATGTCGAGGAGGGGCTCCCAAGAAATGGAGCAGCATAGGGGGGGGGGGGGCATGACCAACAATATTCTGTGAAATATCTCTAAATTCTCTAATTGGCCTTGGAAAATTTGTGACAAGCCAAACAGGGGCTCAGAAAATTAATGAGATATTTATATGACATCTTCATACATCCCCTGGGCATAATAAATGTACTTTCCCTAATACGATTATTATTTYTTACGTTTCAGTTACCTCTGAATACTTTTCTTTGCGACAGAAAAAAAATCAACAAAACAAAGAAAAATCTTATACATCTAATAGGCTAGAAAATTTGAATGAAGATGAGGCGAAAACACAAAATAAACCTTATGTCCATGGATAGAAATTACAATGAAGAATAATTCCAAGTGTAAAATAAGTAATAAAATATCCAAGAATAAGTTTTGTGTAATCGGAWTGCTTGGCAATTAAATGTGCTGAATACCAGTAGATTACTGGTGATGACGAAGCGATCATTCGAGTCAATACCTAGAAAAAAGAATAAAACTAATTAATTGCTATAAAAAGTAGAAAAAATAACCAGTCGAGCAGTCGAGGACTGCACAGGCCACTAAGCTTCACTTAGAATAGATTTAGTCAGGTTATAACATGGAGGGAAGTAATAGGCAGAATAGATAAAGAGAGTCATTTAGCTGTAAGTAGTAGTTCCCTACAACAAGAGGAACTCTGTCTCAATTTGTAGAGTGAAGTAAAAAAACATTGAAATAGTTATTAACTATTGGCTAATTGTAATGTGGTGTAGACTTGAGATAGATAGATAAACTGTACATTTTAGACCGTCCTATAATTCAGATAATTTCTAATAAAAAACACTTTGCAGTAAGACCCTCATCAAAAGTGTGAAACAATTCTTAGCAATCAACAGCTAATAAGATTTAGATCAACCCACAAAGAATTCAATGGGGCATGAGCACAATGCCAAAAAGGGAATTCTCTTTTTTTATGACTAAATATGAGTTAGTTTATAACTAAATCTTATTATTGTAGATCTGAAACCCTTATTGGTGAGTTTAGTGTAATTGCTGTTTTGTTGTCTCATTGGGCTTTCTGACTCACTGATGTTCGTTTCTTCTCAACGTTTCGACGACATTTTGGTCGTCATCTTCAGGATTTAGATTGAATCTTTGTGATGATATATAATATTCATGCGSACATTGACTTTTGGAAGCCACTTAGATTAGATTCACAAAGATTCAATCTAAATCCTGAAGATGACAACAAAAATGGTGTCGAAACGTTGAGAAGAAACGAACATCACTGAGTCAGAAAGCCCAATGAGACAACAAAACAGTAAATCTTATTAGAAGCTAATAAGTTGTTTCACAGTTAAATGGCGTGCAGTGCTCTAAAGTCGGTTGTCAAACAAGTCATCTGTAAGAAGAGAGAAAGCAAAGAATATACACAGTACCTGAACATGGATGGACGTCACAGCAAATACTGTAAGGAAACACAAATGTACAATGTAGACAAAGACTTCTGGGGAATGAAAGGTTCTTTCAATGGAAATCCTGAATATCAAAAAGAAGGAAAACATTTACACTTTTTTAAAAAACCAAGATCACCATTATTATAACAGTGAATCTGGTAGAGTGCGACTGTTATTACATATTTACTATTTACCTCAAATCACACCCAATCGCACACTTTTTTCAATTTCTCACACTTTTCATGTATTTTTTTCGTACTTTTAAACGTTAATGTCATTAGTAAACAAATACAATTGCTCTGAAATAATACGAAGACGTACTATTTTTACATTTTTTTGCAAAATTAAACAGAAGAATGCCACTAAAAGGAAATCAAATTGTGGTGTTCAAGAATATTCACTATTTTTGGTTTTAAATAAAGCGAGAAAACAACGTCAAAGTCACCCAAAAATTAATTTATGCAAATTTATTCTCTGCAATTTTTTGCACTTTTTAGGAAAAAAATCACATAAAAAAAACAATTTTTTTTCCGCACTCTWCCAGATTCACTGTAACAGTTATAATGCACCATTAGTCCTTCTGCATTTTCGTCTACTTATAATTCATTTACTTGAAAATCTTTCTTTTGCAAAATGTTTTTAAATTTTAAAAATTTGTTTTAAATGCTACTGAAATAATAATAATTATTATAATGTTATGGTTACTGTAATCTCTTCTCCCAATAACTGTTGCTGTTAATGGCATACTTGGGGAGGGGGAGAATCGACTTGAGTAATTTTGCATAGATTTCAATATTATCATTAATTAATATAATCATTATGATTTTATAATTAACATATATCTTGTTCATATTCTATATTTATATCAAGTAATTTATCTATTATATATGCACTTTTTCATTTCATCCTACATGAATGTCTAGGGAACACTTTAATTGGAGCCACCCTCTTTTGTGTTTTCCTTGCCTTGTAATTAAGGATTTCATAGTTTATTTTAAATTTCATGCATTAAAAATTATTTTTATTAATATTTTTAAGAATTTTTTTTTTAATGTTTGAATTATTATTCACGCCCAAAAGTGAGAAAATAAATGAATAAATATTGYTGCATAGTTGTCATTTCATCAACCTTAACATTAGAGCACAAACGACACTAAAACTATGAAATAATTTACTAATTAAATATTGCTGATTGTATTGAATTGTATTATATTCCTTTTTTTCTACTGCCACATCATTTAGATCTGCTCAGCATTATTTGCTTTGTACTTGATCAGGTTTTTGTGTTTGCACTACTCTATCAATCATTCTCTGGTATTTGAAACTTTTCATTCACTGCTAATCTGTTAATGTAGCGAACAAAACAACAGAGTTGTAAAACATGTTTCATCTTTAATAACCTTAAAAAATATGTAAATATGCCTATAGGGCTTATAGTGTAGTTTTAATGTGTACTGTTATGTTTATGTTTGTGTTCCACAAGCACGTGTGTCTAACACGCGCGTCTGTACAGCGGATTGTGCGAGTAAACTATCAATTTTCAGTTGAAATTGAGAAGGTCATTAAAGACGAAACATGTTTGCCAACTCTGTTTTTTTTGCTCACTACGTTAACAGATAAGCTGTGAATGAAAAGTTCCRATACCAGAAAATGAAGCTTAGTAAGTCTGTTCTTGGCTTGATAAAAGATTTATCTGATGTTACTCTACTCTACTCTATCTGAATCTATTATGAAAATAATTACCTAATTATGAGCTTTTTTATCCTTTTATCACAACTACATAAGGCTAGTCCTTGATTACACATTAATGCTTATTTATTACATAGCATTTATTTGTCTCAACAAATGTAAACCTTGCAAATTTACATACCATTTTTGTTGTTTTGACCTCTGTTCCTGCCACAAACCAAGTGTCTTTACAATAGATGCAATATTGTCACTTTGAAGGTAGTCAGTACAAGCACCAAAACACAAGATAAACATAGGTAAAGCAAGYAAGAAGTTAGGTATTTGCTTGACCTCATAATACCTCAAAAACCCAACATCCCAGTAATGGTCTTGAATATATGAGTAGGACAATGGTATTGTTTTATTACACCAGGGAGGGGTAGGTGGAGAGTTACTGCAGTATATATAATATCCATAGTACTGAAATAAGAAGAATGGTGACAAAATGATTGCATTTGATATGACAAGTGTACAAGTTGTGTTAGCTAGTAATGACAGCCTTTCTTTCCAAGTATCATGCTTGAAGACAACGTTTGGTGTAAATTGACTGAATACTGAGTTAACAAGTCTCTTGATAAGAAAATAGCAAACAAATCCACAAGAGAGAAGTCCATTCGACCTTGTAGCACTGCCTAACGCAAACGCTAAAGACCCAATAATAATGTAGTAAGTTTTTGAAGAAACTTCTAAGCAATAAAGTCCAATGAATAAAAAGCAAGCAAACATGCTCTCTGAGTAGATGGTGTTCATGAAGACAGCAGCTGGGTTCATACAGAATAATATCGACGAAAACAAAGACATGCGATGATCTTTGAACTTTAACCGAGTTAATTTGTATAAAACCACTGCAGCCACGGTAAAAAATACACACGATAAGCTCCATCCAACGATTACGAAGATACTTTTTCGGTTGAAACGATCACCAACCATTTGGCGTGGAAGTCTCATCAGTAATGGATACAGTGGGAAGAAAGCCATATATTGTTCGTATTGATAACCTTGCTCGGCAATTTCCAAGAAGTAGGCTGAGTCCCAGTTTGTAAAGCCTTGAAACATAAGWCTTGCAACATTGTCGAACAGTGTACCATTGTTGTTACCAAGTAAACTGGAGCTGTCGTAGTCAGCGATAAAGTTGTTGGAAGCACACTAAAACACGAAAAAACAAGTACGAAAAATTAAAAAAATGCTTACAAATATTGTCAGAAGTGTATCTTAGTATAGCTCCAATATTCAAAAACATMATAATTAAAGAAGCATACCTGAAAGACGGTCACAATTAGCCGAGAAATTAAACAAATTCGAAAAACTCGATAAACTTCGTCCGCCATTTTGTTTGAAACKAATAACCGCTGACTTGAGATATTGTATGTTCAGCACACAGGGAACCCATTTCAAAAACGTGCAAGTGGACATCCAAATAATATATATAACATTTTAATTCTTAAAAATGCTTATAATATAATTATCTATAAAATACCTGTTGAAAATAACGCATTTTTGTTAAATAAAATTTAAACATCATTTGCTTTCATATTATATGGTCGCATCTTCTCGTGTTGAAAATCTCATCTTTATATTTCTTGAATAAAATTATCTTAAGTTCCTCTTAAATATTTCTATAGAGAGAGCTCTAATATTTTTAACGTTTAATGGGTCCAGATTCTACATGTTTTAGTTCTGGTTTCTATATCAAGGAATAGACTTTCGTTCAGTAGCCAATCAGAATGTTCGATTCGTCATAGCCATCAGTTGGTGGATGCTAAGTAAAATATATCTAATTTGAAGCCCATAAATGAATGGAGCGTTGAAAGAGAAATAGGAGACTTTGCCACGCGACATTCTTATTTTATGGTCAATTTTCGGACATGGTTTATTTTTGAACTGATGCAAAAATTCATTTATCGTTCATTTTTCGTGTTTCCAAGTCCACTTCTTTCGATTCCTCGATCGGACAGCTGCGACAGATGATCAAATTCAATGTACGCTTTGACTACAAGCCGACAACACGATGTCAAAACGTTCAACGCTTCCTACAGCTGCGCAAATCTTGTTCGGAAGAGAAAAAAACAAATTTCACTATGTATGTTTTATGTACTTTAAATTGTTAAGTARAATTATTATATTTAATACGTTAAAGTACTGACTTATTATTAATGTGAAGTACCAGAACTAGTCTCCTATTCCACTGGCTGAGYATCAGAAAAGTTCCGGCCTGCATAATATTACAACAAAGGACGATGCTCTACTTGAAGGATAAATAGTTCATGCTGCATTGAAAAACTTTCTGGATCCTTACTTTTCATAAATCCAAATCTATTTTTATGCTAGTAGTGGCTGCTTAAACGAATAAACCTAGGTCGGGTTGTTCAAAGCCCGACTAGCGTTAATCCAGGGTTAACTCCATAGGTTTTCTAAG